TTTTTTTTTTATTGTAGAGATGAGGGCTCGCCAAGTTGCCCAGGCGGGTCTCGAACCCGCTGACTCAGGCCAGCCACTCACCTCAGCCTCCCAAAGCGCAGGATTATAGGCTGAGCCACCAAGCCCGGCTAGATTATTTTTTAAATGTTTAATTTTGTTAGGTTGTAACACCTCCAACCCCAAGTCCTTGATGTCTGTTCTAGCTTTCATTCTCCTTATGAAAATTGTTAGGTCTCAAAATGTTAGATCTGGGAGGATTGTGTTCAGTGAGCCAGTGTGCTGAGCCAGTAGTGCAGGTAAGATGCAAAGAATTGCACAGAAATTAGATTAGAAAATATGGCTTATTTACAAAGCAGATCAGAGTGAGAGAAAAAGGGGTCCACCTCCCCCCAGATTGGGGTGAGGGCTAGAGCTTACAGAGAAGTATGGAGGCGGCTGTTTGAGATGGAATGCATTTTGAACCTTTCCCTTGATGAGGACAGGTCATTAAGGTGACTGGGTAGTGGTTTGTTTTATGTCATCACAAAGGAACTGATAAGCACAGGCACTGTGGATGGCAGGCAGATGGGTGGGCTAGTCATATAACTATTACCATGGTGATGAGGTCTGTGTTACATAGATGACAGAGGGCTGCTTTTTGAGATGGGGTCTGTCTGTGTCGCATAGGTCATACTGGTTCTTTATGGCTAAAAGACAAACCTGGAGTAGAAAAATAAACAGTACAAAGCAGCCTTGGGGAAGGGGTTATAAATGATCAGTAGCTAATGACTAGAAGATAAATTAAAGTGAACTGCTAGAAAAACATGACAAAGCAAAGCAATGTTAAAAATGACTGCACTTTAGTTAAATATTTCATTGAATCATTCCATTTTGGCATTTTACCCTTTCAAAAATAATAATAAAGCCATCATTTATGGAGCCCTCAATGGGTGAGGGCCACCATAGAATCCCTTATAGATGTTATTTAATCCTCATAAGAGCCCTATGAAAGAGGGGTTAATTGTCTTTATTTTACAGGTAAGGAAACTATGGCTCAAAGAGGTCAAGAGGTGGTGAGCCAAGATTGTATCCCAGGTCCATCTGACTATTCATCACTAAAAAGGAGCAAACTACTGATACATGTTATAGATATCATGCAAAATAAAAGACACAAAAGACTACATATCATGATTCTATTTATATAAAATGTTTACACAAGGCAAATTTATAAAGATAGACACCAGATCAGTGGTTTCTAGGCATAAAGGAGGGAGTGGGAATTAACTGCAAATGGGCATATTGTTACTTTTGTCATTGTTAGAAATGCTCTAAAACTCTGATGATGGTTGTCCAAGTATCCTGGCCAAGGCTATAAATTTATGAAAAATCAATGAACTGTATATCTACAATGCATGAATTTTATTGACTGTAAACTCTCCTTCTATGTAACTGTTTTCAAAAAATTGCAGAGGTCAGATTCTAAGCTTTCCAGTTGGTACTACCAATGACTGGATGAAGGTCCCTTTGGGATTCAAGCCTCAAGTGCCATCCCTAAGGAGAAAGGTTACAGGTCATACTGGGTTTTTACAAACTCTTCATATAAGCATAGGGAGTAGTACCTTTAAACTCTTTGAGTCAGTTTACCTATGTTGAATATATTTCATTTAAACAGTGAGAGTTCATTTCTAACAGTCACTAATTTCACTAATGCTAACTGACTCCATATCAGCATGTGTATAAACCTAAGTTTGTGATTTACAGACACACATGCCACCACCATATTTGTGGAAGAGTCTTAAAGTGCTGACATCACAAAATAAACCCAAGTGAACTGTAAACAATCACTACCTCCATGACTTCTGAAATAGTAAAGACAGAGCCTTGCTGCCTGTCTTACTGTATGTATATGCTTCAGCATATAATTCCCTCAATATCCCACTCCAGTGCTCCTTGTCTCGGCTAGAATACTTGCTATTCCCAATAATAAAGACATGTGTCCTCAACTCCTCACCAAACCATTTAGGGAGTTTTTCTTTTGTATCTAAATCTAAAAGGAAATATTTGTGGGCCTAACCCTGAATTGTACCCCACATCTTTAAAATAAAAAATTAAGTAAATAAATAAATCTAAAAGGAAAAAAATAACTCTGAAACTACAAGCAAGAGAAATAGCCCATAAATTCAAATGGACTAAAAACCAAATCACTGATGCAAGATAGTTGGACAGTCACTGTGTCCTAGTGAGGAACCAGGAGTAATTTATTGTTCACACCAGCTCCTGGCAGGAACAGTCCTAGCAGCACCACATAAATACATGTTCTTCTCATGAATATCTGTTGAACCTGATTCATGTTGTTTTATTTTAATTTTTAAAAATGGATGCATTATGGTAACTGTGTTTCTTGTGCCTTATACAGAGAAATTCGGAATACCAGAAGTTTAACTTATATAGATCCTGATGCCCTCAAAGAGCTCCCCCTCCTAAAGTTTCTGTAAGTATTAACTTCTCTTCCGTCTCCTTTTTTTGGGGGGTGGTGAATTTTAATGCTGTCGTCTGCCAGGACTCTTATCCTAGGATGATATGGTCCAAGGTCATTTTAATGGTGTACAACCTAGGTTGGGGACAAGGTGTCAGGTGAAATAGACAACATTTTAGAAACCTATTCAAAAGTCAGCCAATGGTGCTGGAACCAGCGACCTGCTCCAAAAAATGTGAGGAAGAAAATGCCATCTTGTATATATAATCTTAAATGTAATATCACAGAAAACAAAACAAAATCCTGGGAGCCAACTGTCAATGTTGTTTGGAAATTAGTATAACAATATTAGAGTGACTATTACACAGCAAAAACAAAAAGCCACATTGAGGGCAGAAGGACAAAAACAGAAGGGACAGTATTTACTGCTTTGCTTCGGTCACACCTTATGAGCTGACTCCGTGAGTGCAGGGACCCACATTTTTGTTCCCTGATTCGTCTTTACTGCCTAGCACATTGTAGGTATTCAGTAAAAACGTGTTCTGTAGATGCGTATGTAGGATCTCAGTCTTTCTAGGTACCAGCTGGAAGAATCCGTGTCCCTGCTTGTATGCATTCTAAAAATTAGAAAACAAAAACAACATAAGGAAGAAAACCAAAACAAAACAATCCCAATATCCAGAAATAAGCACTATGAACATTTCATTTTTATCCAGGTCTTTAAAATAAATGTGCTTTAAAATAAAATATATCCATAGATAGCTTATACATCTTTAAGGATGAATAGAAGTTATCCATGAAAATGAAGGGGAAGGGTAGAAGAGAAATGGAACTGAATAAAAGGGCATGATAGAAACATGAAGGTAGGGAACCACATGGCTTATTTGGGGAGCTAAATATAGTTGCATATTGAAGAGGTGGAAGTGGGAGATGCCAGGAGAACAGAAGAGGATGCTGATGAGATATGAACTTGAAAGGATGTCCGGCAACCCATAAATCTCATGGGGCAAGGACAATCACTCTTCTTAAGGACTTTGAGTTTCAAATCAATAACTCTTTGATGTGATGATCTCCTGCTATGTACAAAGCTCTGTAGAGAACACATGGGATCCTAAGATACTGTCCTTGCCTTCAAGAAGCGTATAATCTAGTTGGGGAGATATTGTATATGAAATTGAAAAGTTCTTCTCCTATAAGAGAATAATGGAAAGTGACAAATGAGAGGTGTTGGGGAGAGGTTCAGGTAATTAGAGGAAACATCAAAAAGAAGGGCTTTGTTTGGGGTTTTTCAAGAGTAGAAAGGTCTAAGTATATGATGCCTACTGGACTCTTGGGCCTTTTTCTTCTCCTATTCTTCCACGTGAACCCCTATTGCAGTTGAACTAGCTTGTTTACTGTACTTCAAATACTTATGTAATCTCTTCTCTCTCCTTTGTTATCTGGAATGTCCCCTTTGCTCATTTTGAGACCGCTGGCTCCAGCTGCCTCTTCAAATCTTGTCTCTTTCCCTCTAGAATTTGCCTTAGCAGATGTATCAAACTAGTTTTTCCACTAGAAGACTTTTTCTCAAGCTTTACTGAGTAGAATCTATATCTCACCCTACCCCATGCCAAGCCTCTCAAAAAAAAAAAAAAAAAAAAGGTCGGGCTCGGTGGCTCAGCCTGTAATCCCGCGCCTTTGGGAGGCTGAGGTGAATGGATTGCCTGAGGCCACGGGTTCAAGACCCGCCTGGGCAGCGAGACCTCATCTCTACAATAAATCAAAAAATCAGCCTAGTGTGGTAGCGCATGCCTATAATTCCGGCTACTTGAAAGGCTGAGGTGGAAGGATCGCCAGAGCCCAGCAGGTCGAGGCTGCGGTGGCCGGGAGCGGCCACTGCACTCCAGTATGGGCAACAGAGTGAGACTCCAACTCAAAAAAAAAAAAAATCTGCTTCTACTATCTGCATCCTAGTTGCTGCCACAAATGTTAAGCCAACTGAATCTGGGGGGCATCCAGAACCTGAGAACTTTGGGTTCATGCTGTTTTATGCACATCTTTTAATCTTGGCATTTTCCCCTGGATATCATACTCTAGGGAAGGAAAAGACTGATTTCCTTCCTTTTCTGAATATATTTTTTTTAATGGTATAGCTGCAATGTTGCTCTCAGGTCACTGCTGTGGGAAAGCCATTCTTGGCAAAATAATAACAAATATATAGAGTTTGAAAGAGGAAGCCTGGTTTAGAGTTGGGTAATCATATCTTCCTCTACCACCCACCAACACACACATAATATCCTCCAATTAAAGCAAAAAAATCTCTCTCTGTCTCTCTCTCACACACACAACACGTGTGCACATGCACATGCGCGCACGCACACACACACACACACACACACACACCCACACACACACACCCACACACACACCCACACACACACACACAAGAAACTTGAATTTATATTTCTAGGAATCCCACTTGGTTCCAAAATTCCCCACAGTATTCTAAGCAAAACAGATGTATTGACACTAGTGCACTGGATTAATTATTATGCCTTGAGGGAACATTATCCCTCCAAGAGTCAGGACTTGCTCACAGTCGCTCAGATACTTAGTGGAGGAGTTAGGATTTGCCTCAGAACCCATGCTTTCAGCTGTTGCATTATTCTACTTGCTACGTGTTGATTTTCTTACCTAAATTTGGTCCTTTTTTCTTTTACCATTAATTTAGTGGCATTTTCAACACTGGACTTAGAGTATTCCCTGACCTGACCAAAGTTTATTCCACTGATGTATTCTTTATACTGTAAGTATGCACACATGCAGTGTTTGGCAATATTTTGTTTGTCACTAACAAGAATTAGGGTACAGCCATGGGGATTAGTTTAAGCCAAGGAAAGCACTGTTTCAAGGAGAAAGAGGTGATAAGTTGTGACTTCATTGGTGGCTGAAGTAAGGCAGGGACTGGGAAATTGTCATTGGGTTTAGTAATGTAGAGCATTGGTGACCCTGACAAGAACTGTTCCAGTGGAGTGGTGGACCTTGGCAAGTCTGATTGGAGTAGACTCAAGAAAGAATTGGAGCAGGAGAATCAGAGAAAGTAACCATAAAAAACTCAGAAAATATCTCAGCAGTTGGACTATATCAGGTCAATAGAAAATATTTTGTTAGGGTGTTTTTGTTTTTAAATGGCAGAAATTATAGAATGTTGGTTTGCCAATGGGAACGGTTAAATAGAAGGAATATTTGATGATAACAATGGTACCTTATTTTTCATATAGTTTTTATATTTGCATAAATTTAAGGAGTACAAGTGTAATTTTGATACATGGATATACTGCACAGTGGTGAAGTCTGGGCTTTCAGTATATTCATTACCCAAATGGTGTACATTGTACCCATTAAGTAAGTTCTCGTCACCCACTCCTTCTGCCTCTCCACTCCCCAGAGTCTCCAATGTCCATCATTCTACAGTCTATGTCCATGTATACACATCATTTAGCTCCCACTTACAAGTGAGAATGTTTTCATATAGTTTGTCATAGGTTTTTAAACACTTTTCCGTGCGTCACCTTTGCTCCACTCCACCTCATGACACAAAAGGAAGTTACTGCTTTTCCATTTACAAATGAGAAAACTGAAGCATAGAAAACCTCAGTGATTTTGGCTGAGCAGGGTCCTAAGGAGCAGTCAGGGGTGGTGCTCAAATTACTTCCTCTGATTTCTGATTGACAGCCTGTGCTCTATTTCAAAATCTGTGACATACCTTAATTGTCTCACCTAATTGTACAGGAGGGAAAGGACATATGCTGAGGGAATCACAAGTTGAGTCTACACTGCACAGTCAGCCGAAGGTGGAGTCATAGTCTCTAAATTCTTGAAGTTTTGCTAGGGAAATAAAAAATGAATCATACTCCTATGCTGCAGAAGAGTTCTATTCAAAATATTGGCCAGGCTTGGTGGTTCAGCCTGTAATCCTAACACTTTGAGAGGCCAAGGCAAGAGTATTGCCTGAGTCCATGGGTTCAAGACCAGCCTGGACAACTTGGTGAGCCCTCATCTCTACAATAAATAAAAAATTAACCAGGCATGGTAGTGTGCACCTGTAGTTTCAGCTACTTGGAAGGCTGAGGTGGAAGGATCGCCAGAGCCCAGCAGGTCGAGGCTGCAGTGGCCGTGAGTATGTCACAGCACTCCAGCACTCCAGCACTTCACCCTGGGTGACAGAGTGAGACTCCAACTCAATATATATATATTATTATTTTAATATATATATGCAGTCTTCCAGGAACTGGATGGGCATAGAAAGTTTTTCCAGGAGCATCTGCCTGGCAGAGTTTTGCAAGTGGAGGACATTTTTTTTTTTTTAGCTTTTCTATTTATTTGTTTGTTTGTTTGATTACAGAGATGTGGGGTACACTTCAGGATTAGGTATATAAACATTAATCATGCAGGTACTCTTGTAGATGAGGTATGCCCCTGCCTCCCCTAACAGTTTCCCTCAACTGCCAATCCCACCCCCTCCCCTGACTGTTTTCCACTACTGCCAATCACTTTCTTATAGCATTATAATTGTTCAAGATCCATTTATGAGTAAGAACATATGGAACTCAGTTCTTTGTTTCTGTGATAAATCACTGAGTATGATAGACTCCAAATCCATCCAAGTTGCTGCAAATTCCATATATTTGTCCTTCTTTATGGCTGCGTTATATTCCATTGTGTATATGTACCACATTTTTTTTAACCAGTCCAGCTTTGATGGGCAACACGGTTGGTTCCATGTTTTTGCTATTGTGAATAGAGCTGCAACAAACATATGTGTGCAGGTATCTTATCATAGAATGAATTGAGTTGTGGAGGACATTTTAATAGTACTCATGAAATCCATTGATCCCTTTCTCCCAATCTAAAGGTTCCATGCACATAGAAAACTCGAGTTGTTATAGACAAAGTGTCTCAGAGTCAGGAAAATCCTCTGAGGTCCATCTGCTTCCCTTGAGATGAGGACTAAATCCATGACCTCAGCCCACACCCAAAGCTTACTTGCTGACTGTGCACTTGGGGACCTCGGCCCACACCCAAAGTTCACTTGCTGACTGTGCACTTGGGCTCAGGGTACATGGCCGTCTAAGACAGCTCTCACCACCTCATGGAACCTCTGAACCACCAGTGGCTCACAAGTGTTGATGACACTTAAAAATAAATAAGATTTGTACTGTGTTCAAGTACTAAGTCAAGTGCAAGAGCCCAACTCCGGAAGGAAAGCATTTTTTTTTATCAAGTGTATCTGTCCCTCTCTCTTGCAGTGAAATTACAGACAACCCTTACGTGACTTCAATCCCTGTGAATGCTTTTCGAGGACTGTGCAATGAAACCTTGACACTGTGAGTATTACTGATTCTACTCCTATCAACCACTAGATTTTGTCTTAGACCATTGTCACATTTTTACAGACCATCCAAGAACTACACTGCCTTATTATATGTACTCTATAGTCTACAAAGAAGTTCACATAATTAAACAAGAGTATCACCTTATGGAATGGATGGTACTCTGTAGACTACTAAAAGGTTTAAGTAGCAAGATAAGTGGATTCCCCTATGGAAGAGATTGATACAGTTTTTACGTAAAGGGTCACTTAGGCTTTACAGACCAGATGGCCTCAATAGCAACTGTTCAACTCTGCCAAAGTAGCCATTCTAAATACGTATACAGATGAGCATGGCGGTGTTCCAAAAAACTTTATTTATACAAATAAGCAGTGGACCAGATCTGGCCTGTAGGCCTTATGGTACAGTATTGTGTATTCAAGTATCTCATTCTACAGGAGAAGGACCTGGGGTTTAAGCAAAGTTAAGTAGTGACTTTCCCAAGGTCACTGAGTTGGACAAGTGGTGCTATTAAGGGCTTTTCATTCTCTGCACTCACACTTCTACGCAGTTCTCACTATTTAGTAAACTCCTGTAAGGGGGTATTAAATAGAAAACATGGTGTTGCTACACAGCATCATTTTCTCAGAGATTAAATGGGCTCTGCTCTTTAGATGGTAACAAGTAGAGTCTTAATCAGGGATATTCACAAAATGTTCTAATGGAGAAGATCTAACAGAGGTATAAAAGGTAAATTAATTCTCCAAGCTGGTAGGAAAATTCCTCTCTTGTAGTATTAACCACAGAGTAGAGTTGGGTCTACCTTTGAAGAAGAATTCCCAGTACTGCTGTCCAAGTTCAGGCCCGGTGGAGTTTTTGCCTGGATTGGTATCCCAACTCCTTTTCTCTGCTCATACTGCGTCAGGGATGGGGGGTGGGGGATTTATCAAATACAAACCTGATTGAATTACTCTCCTGAAAAGTTGATCCAAGCCTCACACAATTCTTCAAAGGGCTCGTTTTCAAAAGCCATTCCAACTCTATCCATTTGGGGCTTATGAAGCTATCTCAACTTCTGGAAGTCTATCCACAGTGAGCATCTTCAGGGAATTCTCCTCACAACATGGGAAGAGCAGTCTGGAAAAGACAAGAGTCTCCTTCTCAGTCTCCATTTCTTTTTCTGCCCAGAAAAGACACATCCCCAAACCTCAAGGCCATTTACCCCCTCTATAAGGGTTTCTATTGTGCCTTATAGTGCTCATCGAGAGGAAACTTCTACATGCTAAGCTTCTTTATAGTAGACTTTAAACTTCTTTATAGTATTATGTGGTACCTTTACCTCTTGGCACTACTTTTCTAAGGACCTCATATCTCAAACAGTCCTTTTCAGTGAAAGCAGCTCATTGACCCAAACCCAGCATGGGGCCCAGAAGGCATTTCATAAACATCTGAGTGAGGAAACCCCATATTTTCTGACATGTAGAAGAGGGGATGGCATGGATTATTCATTATCTTTTCAGGTGATTATTTTTACATTTCTGCAAAACTCCTTGCTTCTCTGGAGCTCATGCTCAAAAAAGCTATCAGCATGAAAGGATACATGTTCCTATAGTAGACTGTATACTGATATTCTAGTAGGGGAAAGTTTCAATCAAAGTTTATAATCCTTCTTTCTATTTTCCCTTTTCAAGGCCTATTTGTTCATTATGAGTTGTAGTTCATCTCTGAAATGTAATTCAAGCAAAGAACATTTTTAATTTTGGGAAAATAAAAGTGTCAAATACACAATTATTACATCTTCATCAAAGAGTTCTAGTTCAGGAAAAATTGACTTATCCATTAGAGTTTCCTTAGCCTTTGTGCTTATTATGTAATTCTTTAAATATTACATAATAAGCAAAACAACAAAACCATGAGACTATTTCTCAGTTCCTCACAACTATATAGGATAAATCTACATTTTAGGATACCCCTTGACACGGTCATCTCATAAGTGTTCCTAAATGTGTTAAATAGATAGTTATTTGATCCTCCCGGCAACCTTTTAATTATGTATTATTATCATATTTTTAAAGCTAAAAATACTTAGGTCAAGACAGGTTGAGAAATTCTCAGAATTCTGAGAAATTTGGATTCTTCTGTATGCTCAACAGGCTACCAGAGCTCACAATGGTCCAATGACTGTAGTTTTCAAAGTTCCCTTATGACCGTCACTAGGAGTTCCTAACTGTGCCCGATTGTGGTCATGGCTGTCTTGTCTTCTCTTCATGCCAATAACCACCAATTAACTCCTATGCATTCCCACATAGCTGGGTGCTCCCAAGGCTGAGGCTTCTTCTCCCGCCGAAAGGGTGTGTGCTTTCGGTGGGTAGGAGGAATTGTATTCAAAGTCAAGGGATCCTGATTTTCAACAGTTCTAGACCAACGTGCTTTTGGCAAGTGACCTCTGTGTCTCAGTAACTCCACTAGGAAATGAAGGTGATAACATTCCAGACTGGCCCCGTGGAATCATTGTATGAATTAATTAATTGCAAAAACATAGCAACAAGCTAAAATATTCAAGTTTCCCTGTGATCCCAGCACTTTGGTGGCCGAAACAAGAGGGTTGCCTAAGCCTTGGAGTTCGGAACCACCTGGGCAACATGGCAAGACCTCATCTCCACAATATATAAAAAAATTAGCTGGGCATGGTGGCATGCACCTGTAGCCTCAGCTACTTGGAAGGTTGAGGTGGAAGGATTGCCTGAACCCAGGAGGTCGAAGCTGCCTGGGAGACAGAATGAGACTCTAACTCAGGAAGAAAAAAAAAAGGCTTCCACAAAAGGGCATGGTCTATCTACTTTCTTAGACTTGTCTATGAGGTTCCAATTAAATTCAGCCCACAACCATTCAGCACTTAATAAGCCTTGATAGATAAAATGCAAATGTGAGATAACATTTTAAATAAAAAAGTAGAAAGCCTATACATTCAAGATGTTCATCTTAAGAAATTTCAGTTACTCCTCTACTTTTGACATTGGGTTAACTATTACCTGAAACCCCTTTTTCTGAATATATATGGAACATTCTTTTAACATCCTTAATGGTGGCAATCTTTGTTCCTCAAAGAAAATCTGCTTCTGAAAAACAGCTGAAATTTACTAGGAGCTAAGTCTGGAGAATGGGCATTCAGATTAAGCAATATTATCCTGTGTCTCAAACAAGGTGCACTGTAAAGTTTTCTTGTGGGGCACATATGTGAGACCTGTAAAACCTCTACGTACACTTCTGACACTGAGGAAATGAAACCCAATAGTTCAGAAAAGGGCCAGCACCCCTTCTCATAGGTCACTGATTTCTCCTCTCTCTTTTGGTTATAGGAAGCTGTACAACAATGGCTTTACTTCAATCCAAGGACATGCTTTCAATGGGACAAAGCTGGATGCTGTGTAAGTCAAGGAAAACCATGGAAATAGTCACCTCCATTGACCCTCAGAAGGACCATCCTGCGGGTCTGAATTCTGTTGAGATAGGATCCAACAAAGGATCCTCAGTCTCAAAGTTAGTGTGACCAACACAAGCATAACGTAAATGAACTCAGAAGGGGCCCACTTTAGAGGACATTAAACATTGGCTCCGATTTGAAATCCCAAAGTTTTTATCATTGGGGGGGAGGTGTGTGTAAGTAAATGTTCATCTACTATGTACATAAAGTAAAAGTGTATCTTTCATGAAGCCCAAAGTCTTTCAGGAAAATAAGACTTCTCTTTTAGTTCTTTCTGATATGTTTTTGGGAAAGATGTCAGTTTTTCTTTGATTCACTCAGACATAGCTGGCAAACATATCCAACTTCTGCCTTTTCAAAAAATAAATAATGCTCATAACAGCTGAAATAACAAATGACAGACTTGGTGTTTGATGTGTGTTAGCACTTCTTAAGTATTTCTTTAACACGTTTTTTTCTATTTCAGATATTCTATTTGTTTATTTTTTCAAATTTACTTACTTATTTTGTAATTCCATCTTTTTTCCCCTTTTAAAATATCAGACATCGTTAGTTCATATTCCAGAAATGATCACTGAAAACAGCCAGGCTCAGTGGCTCAGCCTGTAATCCCAGCGCTTTGGGAGGCTGAGGTGAGTGGATTGCCTGAGCCCGCGGGTTTGAGACCCACCTGGGCAACTTGGCAAGACCTCATCTCTACAATAAATCAAAAATTAGCTGGGTGTAGTAGCGCGCGCCTATAGTTCCGGCTACTCGGAAGGCTGAGGTGGAAGAATCGCTGGAGCCCAGCAGGTCGAGGCTGCAGTGGCTGGGAGCGGCCACTGCACTCCAGTCTGGGTGACAGAGTGAGACTCCAACTCAAAAAAAAAAAAAAAAAAAAAAAAGAAAACTCTGAAGGCCTTATGATTATAAAGCATTTGGGTGGTGAAATGCATCTCAAACTTAACCAGGCACAGACCATCTGGGGAGTCATATCAAAATACAGAATCTGACTCAGGAGATCTGGGTAAACCTCAGGATTATGTATTTCTTTTCTTTTCTTTTTCTTGTTTAAATTGGAGTGTCACTGTCACCCAGGCTGGAGAGCAATGGCACCCTCCTGGCCACCACAACCTCCACCTGCTGGGCTCAGGCGATCCTTCTGCCTCAGCCTTCCAAGTAGCTGGAACTACAGGCACATGCCACCATGATCAGCTAATTTTTTGATTTATTGTAGAGATGAGGGAGGTCTCGCCAAGTTGTCCAGGCTGGTCTCGAACCCCTGGGCTCAGGCAATCCTCTCACTTCGGCCTCCCACAGTGATGGGATTATAGACATGAGCCACCGAACCCAGCCTGGGATTTTGTATTTCTTTTGCTTTTTTTTTTTTGAGTTGGAGTCTCACTCCGTCGCCCAGACTGGAGTGCAGTGGCCGCTCCTGGCCACCGCAGCCTCGACCTACTGGGCTCCGGTGATCCTTCTGCCTCAGCCTTCCAGTTAGCTGGAACTACTGGAGCACACTACCACGTCAGGCTAATTTTTTTTATTTTTTGTAGAGATGAGGTCTCGACAAGTTGCCCAGGCAGGTCTTGAACCCGCGGGCTCAGGCAATCCACTCACCTAGGCCTCCCAAAGTGCGGAATTATAGGCTGAGCCACCAAGCCCAGCTGGGATTCTGTATTTCTAACAAACCCCCAGGTGATGCTGATATTGCTCGTTCATGACCCACACTTTAATCAGCAAGAGTGAAGTAGATAAACTGCACAACCATACTCAGTAACTCTGGATGGATGAAGTGATTTTGTTTGGTGGTCTGGTTAAAGGGTTAGGTGGTAGAATCTGGAATAATTCCATTTTTAAAGGATAAATGGTAATACATTTTGAGTGAGTTCTGGCATTTTGTTTTGTTGTTTAGAGACAAGGTCTTGCCAGGTTCGGTGGCTCAGCCTGTAATCTCGTGCCTTTGGGAGGCTGAGGTGAGTGGATTGCCTGAGCCCGCAGGTTCGAGACCCGCTTGGGCAGGTGAGACCTCATCTCTACAATAAAATCAAAAAGTCAGCCAGGCGTGGTGGCACGGGCTTGTAATTCCAGCTACTCAGAAGGCTGAGGCGGAAGGATCGCCGGAGCCCAGCAGGTCGAGGCTGCGGTGGCCGGGAGCGGCCACTGCACTCCAGTCTAGGTGACAGAGTGAGAATCCAACTCAAAAAAAAAAAGAAAAAGAGACAAGGTCTTACTCTGTCACCCAGGCTAGAGTGTAAGGGCATGACTTCAGTTTTGACCTCCTGGGCTTAAGCAATCAGCCTCCCAAGTAGTTGGGACTACAGGTATATTCTACCATCTAATTTTTAAAAAATTTTTGTGGAGACAAGGAGCTCACTATATTGTCCAGGCTGGTCTTGAACTCCTAACCTCAAGCAATCCTCCTGCTGTGGTCTCCCAAAGTGCTGAGATTACAGGCATAAGCCACTACACTTGGCCCTTTGAGTTCTGTTTGAAGTATATTCTCTTTGCCAGGCTTTAGTGCTTCCTACTCTAGTCTTTACCAAATGAAGAGTTAGAGTACTGTTCTCTCAATTTCCTGCTTGCAGGGTCATTATGGTTTATTTCAATCATTTTTTAAAATGCATAATTAAAGGAGAAGTCTACAAAGACTCTATAGAGTAACATAAATGCTTTCACATGAAAGTTATCTACAGAATGGGAGAGACCCTCCTTCCATTTTAACTTTATCATACTACTCTCACACAATCCTTCATTTACTTGTCAACACATGCATTAAACACCTTCATTTACTTGTCAACAATGTGATAGGCACTGGTAGTTCAAAGAAGAACAAGAGCAATGTCACTGCCCACACTGACATACATTCAGGTGAAGTCAACTCAAGGGCAGCTATATCAAGGGTCAAAGTGCATTAGGGAGAAATCTATCCAATCCAAAATATGCATCTCAGAAAATAACAGAATGCTAAACAATAAATAACAATCAGCCTCCTTGTTTAGAGATACAAGCAGGATTTTCTCTAGGTTTATCCCATCATTTCTTTTTTTCTTTTTTTTTTTTGAGTTGGAGTCTCACTCTGTCGCCCAGTCTGGAGTGCAGTGGCCACTCCCGATCACTGCAGCCTTGACCTGCTGGGCTCCGGTGATCCTTCCGCCTCAGCCTTCCGAGTAGCCGGAATTACAGGCATACGCTACCACGCCCGGCTGATTTTTTGATTTATTGTAGAGATGAGGTCTCACTGCCCAGGTGGGTCTTGAACCCACGGGCTCAGGCAATCCACTCACCTCAGCCTCCCAAAGGCGCGGGATTACAGGTTGAGCCACCGAGCCCGGCTCATCATTTCTTAATTATTATCATTTAACTTTAGTATTACATAAATTTCACCAAATATTTTCCTTTGAAAGTTATGATGAATTACAAACTTTTCATTTTGATAAAGTCCAGTTCATCTTTATTTTTCTTTTGTATTATTCATCACAGCCAAAAAGTGGATAAAATCAAAATATCCATCAGCTGACGAATAAACAAACGTGCGATATAGTCATCTAAAAAGAGATGAAATACTAGTACATGCTACAACATGGAAGAATCTGAAAAGCATTATGATGCTAAGTGAAAAAAAGCCAGTCACAAAGATTCAATATTTATTAATTGTTCAGAATAGTAAATAGAGATAGCAAATCGATTAGTAGTTGCATGGGGCTAGGGCTGGAGACAGGAATGGGAAATGATGGCTAAAGGACATAGGGATTCTTCTAGTGATAATAAAAATGTTCTAAAATTTAAAAAAAAAAAAGTTATGATGACCTTTAATCATTTTCCAAATTCAAATTTTCTATGAATGAGGTGGAATATTGGGACTTCTTAAAATAAATAAGCTAGTCTGTAGGTACTTAGGGCATAAAGATTTCGGGAGACTGTCATGTAGTTCTAGACATCGAGAGCATCAAGAGGTTATCATTGAGGCAACAGAGAACCACATCAGCAGGAGCAGGGGCAAGACTAGTGAAGAAACCTTCAACCAGGGAAACCAGGCTCCCGAATTCAATGTGTCCAAATGATGCTTGCCTGAACCAAAACTTTCTTCCCCAAATGCTGGATTAAAAAAAGAACCTAACACCTTGGATATAGGGTAATTAATTCCTAAAACTTTATATTTTTCCACAAGCAAAGGATTTTGGAGAGCAAGATAAGGAGCTATGCTTCAAATTATTTGCTTCTTTATCCTGCCATATTTAGTCATTGAAAGGTACAACACTCAAACACTCTCAATTATCTTTTTTTTTTCAGGACAGAGATTTGGAGTATGAAATTCAGACCTTAAGGTCTACAAAGCAATGGATCTCTATATTGGCTACAAGTTGGGATCACCAGGGGAGTTTTGAAAGCACTGATGCCTAGGTTTTGCCACCAGACATTCTCAGTGTAGCCAGGGTAATGAGAATTTTAAAATCTCTCCAAGTGAGTTCAATGTAGAGCAAAAATCAAAAGCCACTGCTGTGGAATACATATCATTCTTCTTATTTAATTGTCACATTTTACATATGAGGGGAATGAAGCCCAATGAGCACACGTGGCTTTTTTTTAAACATGGATTTTATAATTTGATAGAGCTGTTTAGTGTCTGAGTCAAAGTCAAGACCTAGATTCCCTGATCCAGGACTCTTTTCCCTGCCTTCTGTTGGGATTCATCACTGCTAAGCTTTCAACCACCACCAACTTATGGACACCCAACCCCTCTGGCCAGTACTACTTGTTTTTTGGCTCTGGAGATTGTTTAGACATCTTAGGTCAGTTCATCAAAGGCATTAAATACAGAAGTTAAACTGTCTTACACCTGAAACGAATGGGATCCTGTGAGAGAAGGGAGGTAACTCATAACTCAAGGCATAACCAGAAGTGTCAGAGGACAGCAACACCAAGCAACAGTGTCATTAGTTTGTGAGAACCTGACTTTACCAA